TTTTTGGTTCTAATCACATTTCAATTAAACTTGGAGACATAGATTTTCTGTTACATTGCGCAGACCTCATTAGTTTTACACTCAAATCTGGTCATATTAATTTTCTGATTTGCATAATTAGTTTTCAGCTAAGTAATTTCGAATTATATTTAATGTGTCTCCAATACTTCTCAGCACATGGGAGTTCTTTCTAAGCTTTCTTTGATTAATTATTTTGCGCACTCTTTGAATCAGCTAACTTAAAATAATAATAATAGCTCTGATCAAACAAAATCAGAGAAATCTTCCATTAATGTTGTGGAGTACAAACAAATGAACAAATTTAAAATACTGGTAATTCAAATTTACCAATCTCACTGTTTTTTTTCAGTTCAACTTTATCCAAACACGACGAGTTTGAACAGACATCCCTACGACAGAGACCAGACACAATACTGAGACAGAGAAAAAAGGGCAAATTAACGACGAGTCAGCTGAAAGATATCAACAAGAAAGAGCACAGTCCAGTCGTGAAGGTTGCTATATGGGCAATCACTGCATCGGTTGGTGCCGCACTGTTTGCTGTCTTGAACACTGCAGCTGAATGGATGTGATTCTAGTCAGACTTTGTGAATTTTTCCAACAAACTAGGGAGTATGCACATTTATATGCAAATTTTACACCTGTTTGTTTTTGTTGTCCAACGTAAATACTTGTAATAATGAAGTTTTGATTTATTATTGCCATGTATTTGAAATTTGTAAACATTCATGAATTTGATAATGACAGGTGTAAAATTTGCATTAAATTTAATAATGTGTATTTATTCATTAAATGCATCAGATGCCAACAATTGGTCATTGCACAGCTGTGAAGTATTATTCTTCTATAAATGACCTATTTTAAGAATAACCACATGTGCGATATTGCATTGGTATATAACCAAACATTTTTTCTGAAATAATTTAAGAAAGATGCCAGTATACACACTTCTAATGTGTTTTTTTTATTTCTCACACATGAATCACCTTGCTGTTGGTCTATTTATTTTTATGGTGCCTGCATTTACTTCTTGTTGTAGTACCAAGGATTTATAAAATAAGCGTATGCAACTTTTATATCTAATTACAATAATATGTGCTGTGGGTACTTGTAAAGGGTTGATAACGTAAACATTTATGTGCAAGATTATACACAACAGTAGACTCAGACTCGCTCATTCACATTTTTAGCATTTCTAGAAATGTCCGTTTTGATTTTTTTTTTTTTTTTTAACAGTCTCACAATTTATGTGATTTCATATTTGGTTCTTCATATATCATATTACATCAGTTGCAAACCCACATCTTATGGATGCTTGGTATAGTATAGTATGACTCATACTGGTAATTAGTCCCCGTTCGGACGCAGTCCGAAAACGGGGACTTATGTTTTGCCCTGTGTGCGTCCGTGTGTCCGTGCGTCCGTGATCACCTGTATCTCGAACATGCATGGACCGATTAAGTTCAAACTTCACTCATACATCACACCTTATATGGGACATATGCACATGCATTTTTTTCATGATCCGATTAACGATAGCCGAATAGCGGCCATTTTAAGGCCGACAATGCATCAAAATCGCACATTTTCACCATTCCGGACCCGGATCTCAGTTATGCATGGATGGATTTTGTTCAAATTTGGTACATACATTAAACATAATAGGACCTTGATGCACGTCATTTTTTTTGTTGGATCGGGTTCGAAATGGCCGACTGGCGGCCATTTTGTTTTAAAGAATTCAGTTCTGGATCCGTATCTGAGACATGCTTGGATTGATCGAGTTCAAACTTCACACACACAAGGTACATCATGTCACAAATATGTATGTGCATTTGTTTCATGATCTCATTAACGATAGCCAAATGGCGGCCGCTTTAAGGCCGAAAATGCATTGAAATCGCACATTTTCACCATTCCGGACCCGGATCTCAGTTATGCATGGACGGATTTCATTCAAATTTGGTACATACATTAAACATAATAGGACCTTGATGCACGTCA